CTGTACGGAAGCCCTTTTACTGTCGTGACAGACCATCATTGTCCCTGCTGGTAGGTTAATCTGCGTGGCTCATCTGATCGGCTGGCGCGCTGGGCACTTTTTCTACAAGAATATGACTTCACGGTTTCTTATAAAAGCGGCCGACGTCACGCTGACGCAGATTGTCTTTCGCGACTACCACTTCCAACGACGGAATGTGACGCGGACAACTTCGACACCTACATCGCATCACTGCATCAACCATTTTCCGATGCCATGACCTTTAAGGATGAGCAACAAAGGGACAGCTCCATACAGCAACTCATTGCTACCAAACCAAAATCATCGCCTACACGCTTCTGCATCCGACACGGGCTAGTTTACAAAAAGAACTACCCCAGCACCGGCTCACGATATCTTCTGGTGGTTCCGAAGAGTCTTCGCGTTTATGTCTTACAGGCTATGCATGATGACCCAACATCCGGTCTTCTAGGCACAGCGAAAACTCTTTGCCGTCTCTTTGTCTCTTTGTCTCCAAGAAAGATTCTACTGGCCCAAAATGCGCCAGACGACGGAACAATATTTGTCTACCTGTAACGAGTGTCAACGTCATAAGCGCCCAACAAGTGCTCCTGCAGGGCGATTACATCCGGTGCCACCCCCTAGAACTCCATTCAAACAAGTTGGGATTGACCTCCTAGGGCCCTATCCCCGTTCTTCTGACGGAAATCACTGGATAGTCATCTGCACGGACCATTTACACAGTACTGCGAGACAGCTGCCATACCATCGGCCACTGCAGCCTATGTGTTTCTCTTCATGCTACGTTTTGTTATTCTTTGACATGGACCTCCCAAAGTTGTAATCAGTGACGGTGGCCGACAATTTGCCGCGGACATATGGAAGAGATGTTTCGTGTCTGTGCCTCAAGGTTCCGGCACTCTACACCATATCATCCCAAAACAAACGGCCTAACTGAACGAACGAACAGAACTCTTTCGAACATGCTGTCTATGTATGTCGCATCAGATCGCAAGTACTGGGACAGTATTCTATCTTTTATCACATAATGCATTCAACACCGCACAGCATGAAACTACCGGCTACAGTCCTTTCTTTCTTCTATATGCTCGACCACCTCGTCATACCCTTAATACCATCTTCCCGTGTTTGGACCACCATGATCCCTGCATATCCGAGATCATCTCTCGGGCCGAAGAAGCTAGACGCCTTGCTTATTTGCGCACTCTTGCTTCGCAAGACCGCTCAAAGGCACATTTTGACCACTGACGCCGACACGCGACGTACAATCGCGGCGACCTAGTGTTGCTGTGGAAACCAACTAGAAAACGCGGCTTGAGCGAGAAAAACTGCTAGCGCACTATGCGGGGCCTTATCTTGTTTTAGACCGCATCAGTGATTTAGTTTACTGCATAGCGCGTCTCCATTCGAACGGCCGACGGTCTGCAAAAACTGAACTTGCCCAGGTAGGTAGGTAATCAACTTTATTGATTCACGAATGAATCATTTGAGGAGGGGGGTGTGGTTGGGAAAGTGGAATCAGGATGACGACGAGCCCTCGGGCCGCTCTAGGTGGCCGGACACTACTGTGCTTTGGCGACCTTTCTGGCCCAGCTCACTGTCCGGAGCTGTAAACCCGGTTGCGAGCTGCGCAGAGCAGCCTCCCATCGCTCCTGTTGTTCTGACCCTTGCCACGGAGGCTTGCGTTTGTTTGGACAATTCAGTTTTTCCCAATTTTTCCTGGTTAATGAAGTTGTAGAGTGCCTCATGGTTCGCTTAGAAAAAGCATTCGCTGTGATCGTTTACAGACCACCCTCGGGGTGTAAAACAAAGTTCATTTCATTCATTGAAGACGTTTTTGAGTACTTGTGTCCTACTGGCTTTCCATTTGTGATAATGGGCGATGTAAACATCGATATGCTCTCTCAGGATGCAACTTCATGGCAGTTAATAGCGCTGGCAATTTCCTTTGCCTGTAATAACGTAATTTCTAAGGCAACCCGCCTAACTGCAGAGACTGCGACACTACTTGATATATGTTCGACGAACACACTCCCAACGTCTTGCGTTGCTGGATCGCTGGCAGTAGATATAAGCGATCATCTACCGATCTTTTGCACCATTCCTTCTTCTAATGGTACTTGCAAAAGCAATAAAAAAGTACGGTCTCGTCAGATCAACGCTGACACGCTTGGAATCTTCCGGTATCGTGTTTTTGCAACAGACTGGAACCACGTGTTACAAGAAAGGGATGCTAACTTGGCATACAAGCTATTCATTAATAAACTCATAAAATGTTATGATGAAGCTTTCCCGGTGTCTGTGAAGAACGCAACACGCCAGAAAATTAGAAAACCTTGGATAAGTAATGCGCTATTTAAAAAAATTACAAAGAAGAACAACATGTAGCATGCGTTTATAAAGACACGAGATATCTTATTACTCAGTGAGTTCAAAAAAATACAGAAACCATCTAAATGGTGAAATAAGGCGCGCTAAATTCAGGTATTATGAGAATTTATTTAGCAGAATAAGTGATAATCCGAGCAAAATTTGGAGCGAGGTTAGAAATCTTTCTGGTCAAATAAAACAAAGCCACATTCCTAGGGTTTTGGAAAACTCTAGTGGCCTTGGTAACCGAGAGGTGGCAACGGCAATGAATAACTACTTCATAAAAAGTTGTGATTTCGATGATGCGGGGTATGACGAGGATACACAACTGCCTGTAAATGACCGTCGCTTATCTAACTCTATAGTTCTGCACACTATCTCATGTCATGAAACCGAAGAATTAATAACAAAGATAAAAAACAATTGTGCAGCAGGTTACGATGATATTAAAGCTATACCAATAAAATACGTCGCTGATGTTATATCACCTTCGTTGTCACATATTATTAATTTAACTCTTGTTACCGGCGTATTTCCCGATGAATTTGAAAATAGCTCGCGTATGTCCGGTTTTCAAGGGTGGTAATGACCAAGAGATTGGAAACTACCGACCGATATCGGTACTTCCGATTCTGTCAAAAGTTTTTGAAAGCGTTAATAATATTAGATTACAAAAATTTTTTGCGAAGTACAATGTAATAAGTGATGCCCAATTTGGCTTTCAAAAATGTAAATCCACCGAGCTTGCATTACTCAATATTAAAAACGAGATACTAACCAATTTTGAGAAAAAGCTATATACTCTTGGTCTTTTTGTTGACTTCCGCAAAGCATTCGACACCGTGCACCACAGTGTTCTTTTAGAAAAACTTAATAACTACGGTGTCCGTGGCGTTGCCAATAGGTTAATTCAAAATTACTTAACAGACCGCTATCAGTATGTCGCTGTTAATCAAGAGACATCTCCCCGTGCGAGGGTCAACAAAGGTGTCCCACAAGGATCGATACTTGGTCCTCTGTTGTTTATAGTTTATGTAAATAACTTGTGTAGCATTCCGGATTCTCCTAAGTTAATCATGTATGCTGACGACACCAATATATTTTTTGCTGACGGCTCAAAACTATAAAACATTACTTACACTACAAAAGAAGGTACTAAGACTATTCGAGGGATATTACGGTATGCCACAAGGTCTTAGCACACGTCCGTTATTCCCTAAATATCTCATATTACAAGAGAACCAAATATATTATTATAAGTTATTATTGTATATCCAAAATAATAAACTATACCCCATGTACGATTCTTCTTGATGTGCTGAGTACTATCTCCGTACACATAGTATAAGAACACCGAAAACTAGAACAACCTATGGTCAACAACATATTGATTATCAAATACCGAGTCTCCTCAACAAACTGGGTGACGTACTTGACCTAAATAAGAAAACTTGCAAAAATAAGTTCAAGGAATTTCTCCTTTATAATTGTATTGAATACACTTAATACAGAAATTTGGATTATCTATTACTTTCTGTGTCCCAATTGCTTAGAGTACACTATTTGTGTCCTTTTGTTGTTGTTGTTTTTGTTTTGCTTATTGTGTGTTCAAGGTGCTTAGGAATGTATGTGTCTCCAGATGCTTTCCTTACCTCACCTATTGTATATATTGCGATGTTTTTTAGGTATTTCATTACTATTTACTGTCCTGTTCTTTTTTTATATTTGTGATGGTTACATGTGTGATCAGAATTTGCAAATTGTATCTGTATATAATGATGTTCTCTAATTTCAGCTAAGTTGTGTATGACATGTTATTTTTAGTTTTTATTTTATTTTATTTTGCCAGACTGTATTTCGGAGCAAAAGCCTCCGTCAGGCTATGTAGTCTTTTGCTTTTGCTTCGTTTTTTCTGTTGCACGTACAGAAATATGTGCTGGAAGTCGGCTCTGGTGCTAGGACATAAGTCTCAATGAGGCGAGGTTTCGCCATGTGTATGAACTTGCCCATGTTGCACGTTTGAAGCGCTTTATTCCTCGAGAGACTGTCTGACTCGCCCAGTGGGCTTTGTCTGCGCGGAGGGAAATGGTACCACATCTGTAATTTAGGTATGTGCACCTGGGTAGCGGAGAACAGGCAGATTAGAGAAGAGGACGTTCGGCTAGCGAGATAGGCCTCCGGTGCACGACCCCTTGAAGTCTACCAGTACGCCACAGCGTAATAAAAACATTACTAAACGTAACAATATTATATATATATATATATATATATATATATATATATATATATATATATATACTTTCTTTTTTCATTTTCGGATACCTAAAGCGGTCGGCAGACCTATCACCTTGTTCTCCACTGATCCCTTACCCCCCTTGGTGTCAATGAAGTTTCACATCCTCTTCCTCCTCGCATAGTGGTCCGGGCTAACACCTTAGCAACACGTCCATAGTTACTACTAAGCTAATGCCATTGAAAATTATTCATGGTTGATATGCAAAAATAAAGGGGGGGGGGACGTTAAAAACCAAGCTCCTACTACAACACTCACATCGTTGTGTTAAACACCGAAGTAAGCAAGAAACACAAAATGTTAAACACAAACTCACCATAAGGTATCAGAGGTGGTGGAATTGGTGGCATGACGCCTTTTTCGACACCGGTGTATGGAAACAAAACATAAACAAAACGTAAACAAAAAAGCAGAACTTGTTCAAAACACACATTTTGCAGAAAATAGTGCTCAAGAAAAGCTTCCGCAAAAACTGTATACTGTAACGCTGCTAAAAATAATACACTCAACAATGGCGAAATTTCAGCCGAAGTCAACAATATGAAGTCCTAACCGCTGAAAATGCATGCCCCCCTTTCCTCTGGCTCCGCTTCAATGCCATAGTCTCAGTGACAGCATCTTGATATAGCAGAGACTAGTTCATCACACACCATATGTCATGCATCGTACGTATTATGCAGCTACAGTCATATTTCATTTGTGTCACAGTAACAGTTTCCTACACATAGCCAATAATTTCGCCACAGATTTTTTTGCTCTTATCAGTGTCTCTGATTATTGTTGTTATGAGGAGTAAAATAAACGCGATGAATATATTGGCGAGCAAATGCGTACAATGCGGCAGCCGTCCATGCACGTTCCCCTCAGCACTTCATCGTCGTCATTCTCAAGTATTTACTCCGCCCATGACATTACCCGCCGGCGGCAGAAGCACCGTCCTGGTGCGATCATTCCTCGGGGTGTGAGTAGAAAGGGTTAAGTCACGAGACGTGCACTATATCTGTAGGGATTGAAGCTGTTGCCGACGTGATATGGAGTGGAGCAATCTTACAAGTCACGCTGGTGACCTTCATTATGACGCGGTAGGGGCCAACGTAACGGGACATGAGTTTTTCACAGAGACCGACACGTCGTGATGGCAACCACATCAAGACTAGCGACCCCGGGGAGTACTGTACGTCGTGGTGCCAGTGATCGTAAGCACTCTTTTGGTTAAGGTGCGAGGCAAATAAACAATCCCGGGCGACTTGGCGGGCAATATCAGCACGGGCCAGGGCATCACGAGCATAGGCAGTCGATGAGGTGGCGTCATAGTAAAGCAGGGTGTCCATGGGTAAAGGCGGGTCATAACCAAACCATAGGTTAAAAAGGTGAAAATCCAGCTGTATCATGACGTCAAGAGTTGTACGCGAAGGTAAGGAAGGGTAAGTGAATGTCCCAATCTTTGCGCTTCTTGGAGATGTACATAGCCAACATAGTTGTCAGGGTACGGTTGGGGCGTTTGGTGATGCTGTTGGTTTGTGGATGGTACACTGTAGTGAACTTTGTGGGTAGAGCAGGATCGCAGAAGCTCGTCGCCTACTTTAAATAGAAAACAGTGGCCGTAGTCAGTGATCAACTGATCAGGAGCACCATGACGCAGAATGATGCCATGAAGAATGAAATCAGCTACATCCGTAGCGCAGCTGGTGGGGAGGGCTCGTGCAACGGCATACCGCGTTGCGTAGTCGGTAGCGATGGCAATACACTTATTACCGGTGGTCGACTCGGGAAAAGGTCAAGAAGATCGAGGCTGACTCGGAAAAATGGCTAATCTTGTATTTCAGTGGGTTGGACGGTACCAGCAGGTCCCAGTGCAAGTGTCTTGCGGCGCTGGCAGAGGTCGCACGCCGCGACGTACTGTGGCACAGACCGGTAGAGGCCAGGCCAAAAGAATCGTCGGAGAATGTGGTCATACGTGCGTCACACCACTAGTTGTCCAGCGGTGGGTGCATCATAAATCTGGGCTGAAAAATTTGCGTGAATATGCGCACGAACAACGAGCAAAAGCTCAGCACCATCTGGGCGGTCATTGTAGCGTGCAAAATGTCGTTGTGAAGAATGAACATCTGTAAGGAGTGGTCAGGGTGGGAAGATTTCAGACCATGCATTGATAATAGGACGCAAAGAGGAGCCACGGCATTGTTTGGCAGTTATATTGGTGAAGGCTGTGATTGAGAGAACCAGGGCTTCTTGTCCACCTTCCATCAATTGAGGGGGATAGACTGGGTAACCATACAAGCAGTCGACATCCTTGTGAAGTTGTCCGCATTTGTAGGTTATGAAAAAAGTGTACTCTTTAAGCGCAGCACCCAGCGACCAAGGCGTCCCGTAGGGTCCTTGAGTGAGGAGAGCCAGCAAAACGCATGGTGGTCTGTAATAACTGAGAATTGTCTGCCATAAAGGTACGGTCGGAATTTCGCAATAGCCCAGACGAGAGCTAAGCACTCGCGTTCTACAATTGAATAATTTTGTTCCGAGCGCGACAACAGTCGGCTTGCATACGCGATGACGCGGAGCATTCCTTGTTGCCGCTGCGCCAGCACTACGCCTACGCCTTGGTCGCTGGCATCCGTACCAAGCTCCGTGGTGGCAGATAGGTCGAAGTCTGCTAGGACTGGTGGATTGGTGAGAATGTAAACGAGCGACGAAAAGGCGTTTGCTTGCTGTTGGCCCTAGGTTAATGCAACATCCCTTTTGATCAGGCAGGTAAGAGGATGGGCTACTTCAGCGAAAATCTCGACAAAACGACAGAAGTAGGAGCACAGTCCCAAAAAACTTTAGACGTGCTTAGCTGAACGAGGAGTGGGGAAGTCATGAACTGCTCGGACTTTGGGAACGTCTAGTTGTACGCCCACAGCGTCAACAAGATGGCTGAGTACGCATATTTAGTGTTGCCCAAAGCGACATTTGAACGAATTAATTGCAGGTTGTCACGTCGTAATATATCTAGCACTGTAGACAGACGGGTAAGATGACCTTCGAAAGTAGTTAAAAAAACAATAACCTTGTCAAGATAGCAGAGGTAGGTGGTCCACTTCATGCCTCGAAGGAGAGAGTCCATCATGTACTCAAAAGTCGCGGGGGGCATTACATAATCCAAAAGGTATCATTTTGAACTGATAAAGTCCGTGAGAAGTCACGAAGGCCGTTTTCTTTCTGTCTTTGTCATTCACGGTGACCTGCCAGCAGCCAGAGCGAATGTCTATTGAAGAGAAATATTTGACACCGTGTAAGCAATCGAGTGAATCATCTATTTGCGGTAGAGGATAGACATCTTTCTTTTTAATATGACTGAGATGGCGGTAGGGAACACAAAATTTCTAGCCATTTTCCTTCTTTTACCAAGTAGAACGGGTGAGGACCTGAGACTAGATGAGGGTTTGATTATGCCCTTGTGAAACATTATCTTCTTCCCGCTGTTTAATAGCGCGCTCTGGGGCTGACACACGGTAGGGCCGTCAGCGAATGGGTTGAGCGTTGCATGTATCGATGCGATGGGTTACCACGGATTCCTGGCATAAATTATGGTCGCTAAAGTCAAAGATGTTCTGAAAAGAAGCGAGGACGTGGTAGAGAGCAGAGACTTGTTCAGAGGTGTGCTTGTCGGATATCATTGGCGTGAAAAGGTCGGAACAGGAACGTGACGGGACTGACGTTGATGAAAAATTGGGTGGCGAATCAGTGGTTAGGGCGTAAACTGACAGGTCAATCAGCAGTGTCAGATGCGCAATTGACATGCTACGAGGAATGACTTGCACCGAGAAGCTAAAATTGAGGACGATTAATGAAGTTCAGTTGTCCTTGACGGTAACCATCGTGTTGGGGAGCGCGACACTACGTATGCATGGCCACGTCAGAAATTAGGGCAGCAACATAATCACCATCGGGTACTGGATGGCATGGCGAGAGTCGGACTGCGACTTGTGGCGGAAGTCAGAAGAAACCGGCAGAGTGTAGAGCGAGGTTAGGAGTGGTGGACATGGTAGACATGTATCTGAGAATGATGGGAGTTTGAGCCGAAGAAGACTTTCAGAACAGTCAATGAGCGCCGCGTGCGAAGTCAGAAAGTCGAGTCCAAGGATGAGGTCGGGAGGGCAGTTTTCTAGTAAAGCAAACGGAACTGAAGTTTGATGCTCATATATTGTTAATCGCGCAGTGCACATTCCAAGCACAGCAGAAGTACTCCCATCCGCTGTACGGTAGGCGCAATCGCAGCCGTCAGAACTTTTTGGGGGTGGCAGCGGAGGTCAGCTCCTCACAGATATTTGTGCACCGGTATCAATAGGAGCAGTTACAGGTAAACCATCAAAGAGAATTGTAAGAAAGTTGCATCGCTGGTCGGGAGTAATTAGAGGATTTGAAGTCCGAGTCGCGTATGCAGAGTCACTTCCAAGGGCTGCAGCCGCTAGTTCTCTGAGCGACGGTCGTAGGGAGACCGAGAGCCGCGTGGTTCGGGCGAGCGCGGCTGATGACGCACGGGCGATGACGAGTGGCTGGTCTGACGTGCTGGAATATGCTCTGCACTTTTCTCAACACGGTAGGACGGGGCATAGGGCGCACGTTCAGAGCGATGTGCCCAATCATAGAAGCTTGGTCGAAATGATGAAGTCCAATGGCTGCGGCAATGGCAGGCGGTGTGTCCTATCCAATGGCACGTGGAGCATGTGGTTCAATCATTATGAGTGCGTCATTCGGCTGGGTTTCTTCATGGCGCGAAAGAGTGGTTCGGAGTGGCAGCCGCCGCGACTGGAGTAGCCGAGCTGGAAGTAGCAGGGACGTTTCGATGAGGTGGCGAAATGACCATATTCACGATGTTTTGGCGAACCACGGCCTGTATCATTGAAACAGCAGCGTGATTGTGTCCTGGAGCACTGACGCTAGACGTGGCGGGTGCCATAACTTCGAGTTCCCGGCGGACTATTCTGGCGACGTTTTTCGGTTCTGGTGGTTGATGAAGTGTTGGAAAATTTTCGCAGCAGGACGTAACCGTCGTGTTCGGAAGGCGGTCAAATCGGTGAACGATGCGCCTACTTTTCGCCTGTTTGAAGTGACGACATGCTTCGATGACCGACTGCACCGTCGAGCAGTTCTTGCACAGCAGAATATTGAAGGCGTCATCGGCGATTCCTTTCAGGATGTGTTCGATTTTGTCCTCCTCAAGCATGTCCTTGTCGACCTTGCGGCACAAAGTCAACACATCCTGGATGTATGCGATGTATTGCTCTGTGGATGTATGGGTGAGAGTCACAAGCATTTTCTTTGCGGCCACTTGTCGTTCAATGGGCTTCCCTAATAGAGAGCGTAATTTCTGCTTAGAGACGTCCCAGCTCATTACTCTTCTTGATGCGTCTCGTACCTGAGTTTTGCCATGCCATGCAAGTAGAAGGTTATGTTCGCCCACATAAGTGTCGGATCCCAATGGTTGCTGCTGCTAACGCGCTCATACAGAACCAGCCAGTCATGTACGTTTATGCAACTCGTGCCGTTTAATGGGCCTGGGTCACGAGGTTGCACCACAAGGATTGGCTGGGGGCAGACGGATCTTGTTGACATTGAGTAGCCTGGTCAGTCATCGTGGTAGCGGCGATGCACCGTCCACTGCGAAGATCCAGCTCCTGGGGCTGTATAGCGAGTTGCACCCCACACCTTCAACCAATGATGTTACGGGGAATAAAGTATACGCGATGAATATATTAGCGAGCGAAAGCATACGATGCTGCAGCAGTCCATGCACGTTCCCCTCAGCACTTCGTCGTCGTTATTCTCAGGTATTTACTGAGCCCGGGACAACATGTATAGCGTAGATGGCCCACGTCACTGGTGTAGTCAAGGAGACAACACTACCAATGACGATTCTTGGTAATGCTCTCGCACTTGTATTGCCAATGTTTGTTCACCGTGACATAATATAGACTGTCAATCACCTGTCATGGATAACCGCACCCCGTATTAAACGGGAATGCGCCACACGTGTCTGGTGAAAACGGTTTGACACGTACGTGGCAGCATTTTCATGTTACACATGCCATGACGAGACAGTCATATCTTTTGGACCCTCTTATCCCCCCCCTTTTAGTCTACACAATGTTAAGAAGCACATCATGAGAGCATACAGACGAAAGGGGCAACATAGACAGACAGACAGACAGACAGACAGACAGATAGATAGATAGATAGATAGATAGATAGATAGATAGATAGATAGATAGATAGATAGATAGATAGATAGATAGATAGATAGATAGATAGATAGATAGATAGATAGATAGACAGACAGGCAGAGAGATAGATAGATAGATAGATAGATAGATAGATAGATAGATAGATAGATAGATAGATAGATAGATAGATAGATAGATAGATAGATAGACAGATAGATAGATAGATAGATAGATAGATAGATAGATAGATAGATAGATAGACAGACAGACAGACAGACAGACAGACAGACAGACAGACAGACAGACAGACAGACAGACAGATAGACAGATAGATAGATAGATAGATAGATAGATAGATAGATAGATAGATAGATAGATAGATAGATAGATAGATAGATAGATAGATAGATAGATAGATAGATAGATAGATAGATAGATAGATAGATAGATAGATAGATAGATAGATAGATAGATAGATAGATAGAAACGTCCAATTAGCGTTAGTCCGCACAAATGCTTCGCATTTAAAACATCGCACAATGATGAAAATGTAGACAGCGCAACTCACCGAAATCTCCGCTTCCTTCGTTGTAATCCGACTCGAAGATGCTGTGATCCTTTGAATCGTCCTCTGCATACTGCAAAGAGTTAGCGTATAATGAGTACAATTCAGTGTCCGCCATTCGTCTTTTTACGTGCTAGCGCTCTACAGAAACAGATACGAAGCATTGCGGGAACTTTTTTTTCTTTCTGGGTACGTTATATGTCGGACTCGGCTATGTAACGCGGACATGAGTGCAACTATACCAGTTTCTGACGAAATCAGTATGGAGGCGTTAAGGTAAGCATGAGAACATAGAGAGCACTCAAGCACCAGGAAAGCGGACAGCGTCTGCCCGGTCAACTTCTTTCCTTTCGTTCTGGCTGTTTGTCCACTCATACAGTACGTTACATCAACTCGACCAGCTGATACTATACTACTTTTGAAGGATGTCGCCCACGGACTCGACAGCTACAGCACTCTTGCGTTGAAGTTGGTGGAGTTTTCAGAAAGCAAAATGCCAATTCAAGACAGCTTCTCAAACTCGTTTGTTCCACCGTTTATTGAGCAGTTATCACGACAGTTAATTAGCAACCTCGTATTCGCTTCTGAGAATCCGAAACCTTGATTTCTGCGTAGCATGACCAAATCCCCTTTTTGAGAAGGCTTCAAGAACAATATCATTACAGTGTTACTATGCTTAGTTTTTTCAGTAAATATCACTCTGCTACGCTAAATTTCAAATTACGACATTTCGTTCAGCCGAGACGCTTTAGCAATTTTGTGACCGCGAGAAATTGGGTCGTTCTTTGGTAGTCTAGAAAATCATAATTTTAATGGCACCCAAAGATACTGATGTTAGTGTTTATCGTCAAGCTGTACAGCTAAATGTTGTCTTTTAAACACGTCAGTTTGAAACCACAAATTTATTACCATTAGTACAAAAAAAATCATCAAACAAAAACATTCTAAATACGAAGAAAGAAATTTCATAGAACCATCAAAAATGCTCTGAACAAGCTAAGCATAAAAAGAAATGGAATTATACATTTTAAACGCAAGGAGCACACACAATTCCCCTGTAAATATAAGCGCAGTAAAAATAACTCCCAGTTTTGCCGCAAAGACGAAGCAATGAACGCGAGAGCAACGAATGGGAAGGTGACGCGCAGAATGGCAAGCAGATCGAATCGTTCCCCATGTTTCTCACGCATAATGCACAAAACGTACTCACCTGTACAGATCAACGTGAATAAGCGTCTCAGTTACTTCGCTGTGTCTGAAAAGCACGCCCTTTTCGCAAACGGAGGCCGTGCAACGATTGCAGTGACCTTTGTGCGCCGGGTAACTACAATATAATTGTTCTGACGAAACCCAAAGGCTAGCCGAGACGTATGATTCTTCCCACTGCAAGATAAGGGAGCGCGATTGAGCGTGCGCCTTCTTAATCTCTACGCGGGCCAAAGTACACGTGAGAGATGAAAGCCACCGTGCGCTCGCTGCGCCATCTTGCTGATAATGCTGAAAACACGATAGTTCCTCCACTCTCCCGAGATGCCCGACAATAGCGGTAAGCGGTAGATATGAAGAGCTTGCCACTTTAACGTGGAAAGTACATCAAAGACATTGAGAATATTAAGGGCCAACTACAGAGATATGATGCTGCTCGCTACTAAGGGAAACGTATTAGATCTCGAACCAGCGCACCTTAAATTCCGAGCAACCGACGCGCCAAGCTTTACTTGATGAGCAACGCCATGCAATTTCTAAAGTTAATCCAGACTTGTACACTATGTGCTCATAAAAGATAATAGATACATTACTTTGGTGTTCGAAAAGTACTATAACAGTTTATTTAGCTCTCCCTCTGATGATCCTGACGCCCACCTCAAGACTAGTCTTGTTTCTATTGTAAACCCCTTGAAGGACAATGATTGTGCAGTCAATAATGGACCCATTACTATACAAAAAATCAAGCAAGTAATCAACATCTTGCCTTTATTGAAAACACCAGGCCCTGATGGCATCTCAGGCAAACTTTACAAAGCTTTCAAGAAAACGCTTGCTTCTATATTGCTGAATATTTTTCAAATCAGTTATGACATGGATACACTCCCACAATCCTTTTGCAAAAGTCACAATGTGTTATTACCGAAAACAACTGACAAGAAAAACTTCGCTTCCTCGAGGGCTACAGACCAATATCGCTGTCAAATGTGGACTACAAAATTTTCGCAAAAGTATTAGCAAATAGGTTGCAATTTGCAATGTCGATTCTTATTGGGTCTCATCAGACATGTGAGATCAGGGGTCGATTCCTACAAACATACATATGCATGTCGTTTAAATATACATGTTTAAATATACATGTCGCTTGAACAGTGCTTCAATATTGTCATGCTTTTCAAAAACATCTTGCAATGTTTCAGGTAGACCTTGCAAAAGCTCTTGATCGTGTTCGTCATTCCTTCCTTTTTTCTCTGCTCGAGCAAGCCAATGTTGGCCAGGTTGTTCTTAAAGGCGTTAAACTATGCTATGATGAATGCTCAACTCGTCCGATAGTTAATGGTCATTTCTCCAAGCCTGTTTCTATTCGCTCTTCTGTAAAACAGGGATGCCCGATGTCACCTCTCCTATTTGCACTTTATCTAGTACCACTGTGCTTAAGCATAATACAGCCGAGTTGCATTCGTGGCTTCAGTATTTTAGGCAGTGAGGTTGAAGTATTAGCTTATGCAGGCGATGTCGCATTCTTTTGCACAGACAAGCCAAGTGTCGGAAATATGGTATATACCATAGAAAAGTTTGGCGTAGTATCTAGAGCTCGTTTAAATGCCTCTAAAGGTTTAGGAGTGTGGTTTGGCTTGTGGGGTAGCATACCGAACCACTTTGCAGGGATTAATTTGACAAGACCTCCTCCAACATATCTCGGTGTACCATTGCATGCATATAGATTCAGCGCGCATTACTGAAAGTAATGCGTGCCAAAGCTTGAACGACAGGCCCAGACATTTGTTCCCTATCGACTTTCAATCTTTGGGAGAGCTGAAGCTTGCAATACTTTTTTAGCTACAAAACTTCACTATGTATTGCAACTTATTCATTGCGCGAGATTCTATATACAACGCTCTCATCGGATTTTGGCTACTGTCATATGGTCTTCGATTTTTGAGCCCATGCGTCGTGATAATATATTCAAGCCAGTTAGTGAGGGTGGGTTAAGATTAAAACACCTTCATTTATGGCAAATAGTGTCACGATTCTTCTTTTTTTTTTAGACAATTCCCATCCTGTAATCTGTTCCTTCTTGCAGGTTACACTTGTAGATTACTTAACAGATTTAGTTGTTTCATCAAACTTCTCCGAACACCCATGCTTGGGGGGTTCATGCAGGAAGTTTACCTCGCAGTTCAGTTCCTTAAAGCTCACTTTTCTGTAGAATACCTGTACACAGTATCGCGCAAGGTGCTGTATAAGGATCTACTGAGTACACTCTTCCCACCTCTGTTGTACCGCTCACTGTACGCCAATCTTCTAGGGCACGATGTGTTGAAGCGAGAGTGCAAAATGTACATTCCACTGAATTCAAAAACATTCTTCTATAAACTTCCCTTTGAAACATTGGCAGTTAACACATGATTGAAAAGAAAGGGTATTTTCATTCCTTCTGCTAACTGCCGTCTAAGTGATGTGCCGGAAATGATTGAACATTGCTCAGTTAGCTGCAAAGATGCCATACCGTTTTGGGATGTCCTTCAGCGAGCACTAAAGAACGTTTCGTCATTAATTCTCACACAATACGTTATCTTCTACCAGCAGCGCATGATAAAGTACCATATGACATGTTTTTCTTCATGGGTAGGCACAGCTTGTGGAATACACGACTGCAAGACCGCAATGCACATCCCACCACCTTTTCAAGCATCCACTTCATTCAAATGGCTATCCACCTCAAAAACATTTACGACGAGCTAGACTTTAGACCAGACTGGTACTCTATCTTAGAGAACTGTTTGACCTCACCCCGTTTTTGTTTGCATAAGACGATGTGAAGAACTCTCCATGTGAGGAACTCACGCTGTGTGAGCCATTGAGTGTTTATGAGTAACGCTTGAGCACTTATTTTCGCGATTTGATTGTACTTTTGTTCGCTTGATTTGTATTTATTGCGCAAATACTTTATTATATACCATGCAAAAAAGAAAGACTCAATGGCTCAGTGGTTAACGCCTCGCATCCAAAACGCGGAGGTCCCACGTTCGATTCCACGCGCGGGAGTCTTTTTCTGGGACTTTTTTTCTTGTGTTTTTTCATATATAGACACGTATACATACGGTTTATGACACTGACACCCACGCTGACACCGGCGGTGAAATCCAGCCGAAAGTTTCCATATAATCGCTATCGCAGTATTATAAATGTTTTTGTGTACTAAGAGTAACATTACACGTAGTGTCTTTTATGCTACCATGCGAAGCAGTTTTGCGATGCTGTAAATCATAGGATGGCTGCGCATGTTTCACAGAAAACACTTGCTTTCTGTTGAAACTTTTTTGTTCATAGCATAGTTTACAGTCATTGATTTTTTTTTTTTTTTTGGCTGGTGCCGTTAGCTGTAGGAGCGTTTCGTGTGGGAGCATCAAGATGAACTGTGAGACCTCCAAGCACCATCTCTCTCGCTGTAAGTCGGCCTCTGAAGAATATTCGTCTAAAAATATTTATTTCTGCTTTTGCAACGCTCTCCAATAATTTAACCGTAAAAAACTAAAAATTGGCTCTGAATTTGCATGTTACACTGCAAATGTCGTCGAAAGAGGATAGTCTTACGTCTGGAGAGAGTGAACAAAACGTTTGTTTGATGTTCTGCGGAGAAATCGGTGAATGGTATTGTGGAGGCGCTGCGTTAGAGTGCCTCCAGCGTGTAGCGGAGGTGAACAACCGCATCAACGCACGTTAAATACGAGCGCCATCTGGCAGTTACCTTCGAAAACGAAGACGTGCGCACCCGCGGTGAAAGAAGTGCGCCTGTCTCGAAGGTGATAAGGGGTAAAACTCAAAGTGACGGGCAGGTGCCACCACCGTGTCGTCGTATCAAAA